GGAAATGGTACGGTCGCTGTCACAAGAGGCCGAGAATACTCAACCTACGGACTTCCACCACATGCTGGCCCGACTGGGCTGCGAAAACCGCTTGACTCGTCTATACACACAGAATATCGACGGCATCGAAACATCAATGCCTCCTCTTGCGACGCAGGTTCCTCTCAGCGTCAAAGCGCCGTGGCCCCGGACCATCCAATTACATGGTAGTATCGAGATGATGGTGTGTCAGAAGTGTCGACATATGCGAACCTTAGACCGAAAGATGTTCGATCGTCCGGATGCGCCCGAATGCCCAGAGTGTACAGAAAAAAACCTACACCGCGTAGAAGCCGGGCAACGCAGCCACGGAATTGGCAAAATGCGGCCGCGCATTGTTTTGTACAACGAACACAATCCGGACGAAGAAGCAATTACATCAGTCATGAACGCGGACATCCGCTCGCGTCCAGGCGCAATGATCGTCGTGGGGACCAGCTTGAAGATTCCCGGGGTGCGTCGCCTTGTGAAGAGCCTCGCAACAGTGATACGCGGTCGCCGTAACGGAGTCACAATGTGGATCAACAACGAACCGCCTTCCAGCAAGGAATTTGAGGACTGTTTCGATTTGGTAGTCAAAGGTGACTGCGAGAGAGTCGCACAGCTAGCCCAGCTGAAACGATGGAATGACGACTCAGAGCCCGTCTTCAACGAATGCAATTCCGCCGATGTCGAGCGGATCAAGAGCGAACAGGGCCAGGTTTCTGTCGTCATCCAGACGCCCAAGAAGTCCAAGGCGCCGATTCAGACCGGAATGCTCACGCCATCCTCCAGCCACGATGGAGACGCGGAGACAACCCTTTCAAACCCTGCTAGTAAGGGTCGCAAACTTACTGAAATACTCAAGAATAGCAAGGAAGCACCTAAGAACGCATCCAAGAAGGCGCCCAAGGCAACGGCCAAGGGCGCCAAGAAGCCTGCACCGAAGAAACAAACGAAGAAGCAGCCACAGCCAGCCAAGAATGCCAAAATCACGACCTTCAGCAGAGTCACCAAGGGTGCGAAAGCCACACCGGACGAAAAGTCAGTCAAGCTCGAGAAGGACGACCTCAACAAGGCCATGCACCCTCTGCCTCCGGGAGCGGCGCGCAACAACGGACCTATAAGCCTGGTGATGTTAGGGGACTCTACGCCGACCAGTAAGAGCTGGCGTGACCCGGAGACGATTTCACCCAAGTCCATCCCGAATGGAATGAGCGATTTGCTAAACCAGCCGACCGCATAGTCATTGTTTCATGTTGAATTATTATTTTTTTTCCCACGATACCACCGATAGACTTGCTGGGTTGGCGTTCGGGTCTACTTTGCCTGTGACGGTTTTCTATATTGTACGAGGCCCGCTATATTTTGTACGGGATATGGAGTTCGGGATGGCGTTGTTGTGTTGGTCATCGACCGAGAGGGTCTTCGTTGTTCGGGGCATATTTGTTACGGCGCAGTTATGGATACTAGGTATCATGTACACCAGCACGAGCTTAGCATCAAGCATGTCACATTCAACAGACGTAACTACGTAGTGAAGTTCCATAGTAGAGCCCTCTATCCCAACCCCAGACCCCCCCGTAACTGACTCCCAGGACCCTCATCGTCACTCTCCGTCTCATCCCCAGCATCCGGATCCACCATCCGTCGCGCCCGAGCATCAGAATCTAAATCTTCCACCCGGTCAATATCATCACCGTCATCACCACCACCCTCCTCCTCTTCTTCTTCGTCTTCATCCTCCTCCTCCGTTTCATTCTCATCATGCTCTTCCCCTTCCCCCTCCCCCTCCTCATCCTCATCAACGCCGTCGTGCTCATCCTCCTCTTCCTCCTCCTCATTCTCATTCTCATTCCCATTCCCATTCTCCCCGCGATGTCCATCCCGCTTCACCCTCTTCGCCCCGCGAACCACAACCTCCATTTTCCCCCCGGCGCCGCCTCCCCGCTTCTCATCATCCCCACCCGCAACATTGCCATTGGCATCAGCACTGGCATTTCCATCGGCGTTTCCATCCTTCTTCCCTCCCCGTCTCTTCGCCGCCTTCATCTCCGTAAACACCTCGAGCTCCTTCTCCAGCCGCGGCCGGAACCCCTCGAATTCGAGCTCCGAGAGCGCAGAGAACACATCTGCCGGACTGATCGTTCGTTTGAGGGTTGCTTCGTTGGCGCTGTTTCACACATCCACAATGTCAGTAAGCTAGCTAGCTAGGTAGGTCTAGGCTTGATGTAACCGGATCCGGTCCTTGGGGGGTTATTCCATTAAAGGTGGCGGATGGGATAGGAAGGTAGATGGGGACGGAAGCGTACTGCGAAGACAAATATGATACAAACACCGTCGCGGCCTTTTGGATCGCCAGGACGGCGTCCTTTTGTATGGATGTGTTGGGCGGGAGGACAGATTTCGCGAGGCGCAGTGTGAGAGTGCGGGGGAGGAGGTAGTCCTGTTTTTTTCCCCAGTCCCCGCGAGGGGAGGAGGTTTCGTTAGCGTTCATTCCTGGCAGGGTTGATTTGGATGATTGGTTTCTGGGGAAGGGAAGGGAAGGGAAGGGAATACATCAATCGAGACCCCCTCTGCGCGCGCTTTGAGCTGCTGTTCTGTTGCTTGGACGGACGGGTTTGGGTGAGGATGTGATGTCGATGTCGATGTCGAGTGGTGTGATTTGGGCGGTGTTTCCTCGGGTGGTGGGCTGGACATTTTTATTCCAGATTGGGTTGACTGGTTCAGTTTTTATGTCTGGTTGGGTTTGGATTGGGGGATTCTGGCGTTGGGGTGTTCGTGGTATGGGGGAGGTACAGTATCGTGACGTCTCGGGCAGATTTCGGGCGGATTTGAGGGCGGGCGGGGTGGTGAGCTGGAAGGGTAGGTATTCTCTCGACGTTATCTGACGGTTAATAAACAATATTCCGGCGTAGAGGCGGCGTCGTTGAAGAGAGAGAGTTCGATGTCAGGTTCATAAGTAACGGTGGTTGGTTTCATGGACGCGACGCGGTTGAGTTGGAGAAATTCAGCGGCGCCGAGAAGCGCGTGCGGGTCTTGGTTAATGGATGGATTTAGATTTACTGTATACCTAACCTATCCATCCGCATACGATCTTAATTCTGTTTACTGTGTATTTGAGATGTCCAGTAGAGCTTCTGCTTGACTTGGATTGTATAGCATGTTCCTTATTCTGTATGCAGCAGATTGTAGTATAAGTCAGAGATACTCATCAGTGTAGTCAGGGTGCATCTGTATGAATATATATTTGCCAGACTAACTCATTAAATAATTAACATTATAGGCTCTTCATAATTTTTGTGACACATTCAGAACTGACGGATTCACCGGGGACTAAAAGATAAAATCCAGACACTGATCCCACCAACTACAGACAATATTCCTGGAGACATGGCTGGGTAGAGACATCCAGACTACATATATACTTGCAGCACAACCCTCCCTCAACTGGCAGAACTACGCCAAGGCATTCACTTAGAACCAACATGGAATCCAAGCCCACTGTACGTCTATTACGACACCATTGCCTCAAAACATTGGGATAATGGAATGAATCCTCCATCCAATCACTCCAGAGGCGTCGGGGACCACTCCGATCAGGGTCCTAATCGCAACACCTACTTCCTGCCAGTGTGTCCATGAAGACGCGCATGAGAAAGCCAGCGCCTGATATCGACTATGGTAGATACAATGAGTCTGCCAACCGCAATCACTCTGACCCGAACACCCAATGCCTAGGTACTTACAAGTAAATCACTCGCCTGGTTCGCGCTGTGCGCCATCCTCCACAGATCAATGCCAAATCCCTTAAGGATAAAAAAGACCTGGTATGAATCACCCCAGCCAGCCAATTGAGACTGATACCTTGTAGACTTCAGAAGATAGCTCAGCTATTGTCCTTACGCCAGACATAAAGCCAACAAGGATACCGCGGCGCTTGCGCATCCTTGCTGAAGCTTTTAGATCAGCGGAGAATAGACAGGAAAGTTTGAAGGAATGAAGCCTCAAAGAAGCTAGGAGACCGGGAGACCAGGAAGGCTGCTCCATAACAGGAACGCAGTGCCCCAGGAGTTCATGAATTTGCCCATCGGCCCGCCCAACCCATGGTCCGTGGCGTCCAGTCGAAGGCAGAAACGGCACAGAACAGCGGAAGCACAGCCGGGTCTAGAAAAGCTGTCCGGATTCTAGAACCCGTGATGCTCATAAGCCCCTATCCCAGACACGTAACTACAGTACTAATATTACTTCATCTCGTCGTATCACGGAAGCGAGAGCCGGTAATGAGATGGTTGTTGTTGGTTGCCCCGAGCAGTCGGGATCGCGCATCGCGGGATTCCGCCGGCTCGGTCAACGAAACCAACTCCGACTACCTATAATAAGAAGACAGAATGACCTCGATATTCGGGAAGTGGGCCACGGGTCAACTATTCTACTTCATCAAAAAGCAAAAAGTAAAAAGAAAAAGGCTCTTGCTTGCACTCGTATTTGATATGCAAAGGTTGGGAGTCTGAATCTGGACAGCCGTTTTAAAGGGAAGGTCGCATGTTTTCGGTTTAGCCTAAACTTCCTAATCAGGACTAGTTCCCGTGTTGACGGATTTAGCTCAGCACTAGTGCTAATGGGGATTAGTTGACAGAGTCACGTTATCACCAACTTGGAGCCCTAACCGCGGGGCATCAAAAAGTCTCCAACATCATGCCGGTAACTCCAGATGCAAAATGAATGCGGCGGAGGAGATCCGAACTCCGATCTTTGCATATCACATACGGGTAGATAGATACACTTGAGTATAAATGTACAGCATAGCTGTATACTCATTTTTTAACAATTTGTTGGATTTGTGCTTGTGCGCATTATGCAGGGTCCGTTTGGGGTGCTTGCCGCGTAGCCGACCTATACAAGAGAGGTGGTCCGTCCGTAACAACCAGACTAATTAATGATTGGCAAATCAAAACAAAGAAAAAGATAAAAAAAAAGAATGCGCCAGAGGAGAGTCGAACTCCCGATCTTTGCATGTCCTTAATTTAGTACGAGTGCAACGCGTTAACCACTGCGCTACTGGCGCAACTCTGAAATTGTTCTGCAGCTAGCATGCTACTTGGAAGAAAGAAGAAAATTTAGAACGCAAGCTAAAACTCCTTTGCTTCCAATTGTGTTGGTCGACGACGTTCATACAAGCGTATCTACCAGGAACTGCCGGAGCACAGCACATGGGGCATACTAATACTTATTGCTTATAGATATCTATGATGGAAGAATGAAATCCAGATACTGGGAGTCTCCGTTTGGAGTCTCATCAGAAACTCTTGGGTATAAGGTAGCGCAATCAAACCAACTCTCGGTAACCAGCTGTCTCAACAGCTGTCTCAACCTCACACTTACTTGAGTTACCGTTTGCTCGAGCATGGAGTCAAGCTGAGTGAGGCAGGTTCAAGGTGGTTAATTTCAGTTTGTATATCCTTGCACCGTAATTATAAACTCAACACTTGAAAGAAAATACTCGATTTATCAGGCTAGTCTCGAGAAAGAATGGAAGTATCATCGAACTCGTCTCAATTGACAAATCTATTTTAGACCTAGAACGCCGTCTGGTATCCCAAACCATGATTCGGAACGAAAGGAAAAAAGAACGCAAGGCATCATTTTG